CTTCTAAAAAAAAAAAAAAAAAAAAAAAGGGGAAAACATATCTATTTTCGCAGAAGCAAATACATGTACACAGAAACCCCATACATCTCAACATTATTGTATAATCTTTCATAAAACTTTATTATCTAATACTGGTAGAAATTGACAAGATTCTTTCCTACTAACACTGAACTGGTAGGAAGCATAGACAGTCAAATACTTGTAGAAACTTTTTAAACCCTAATTTAACTCTCTTATTATTTAGATATCAGTTAAATTTATAAACCTTTGTATATAGATAAGTTTGCAGTGTAACAATTACACCTGCCTACTGTGTGTTTTGACGTACAACGTTGCGTGTTTTGAAATCTTTATCTATATTTAATGTTTTGCGAAATGTGTCTGTTTAACTGGGAAAGACACCCAGTTTCCAGACAAGAACACAAAGGTGACAATCTTAAAACTCGGTGTTATTTTTGAATTAGTTTAGAAAAACAGTTTTCCCAACTATGAAACAACAGCTGTGGAAAAATAAATTATAACTTATTGTAACAGCTTTATTTATTTCATTCGAAAATGTTTACGAAACCCAGTGTCTAGAAAAATCAATATTGTTCCCTCTTTGGTTGTTGCCACACTTTCCAGCCCATGGCAATAAAATGATACGGCCTCTATATATTGTATCGGATATACAAGTACTTAAATTTTGTATACTATTTTACAGGTCCTTGACATTAATAAAGGGTAACAATGTACCGTACTGTAAAGTGCTGCAAAAAAGGTCACAGTAATGATCCCCCTTCCGTTTACAGACCCATTAGATCCTAATGAACGCAAAGCACTTGTATATAAAGCAATTCAATACAATTTGTTGCACCCCCTCTCCTTTTTTACCGCTACGCTGAAAATACCAGTAAATTCCAAGTGACTTTGACTAATCACAAACGGCAACTTGCTGTCTGCACGTTAATTTATGTCTTTGTCATTCTTTTTGAAAAGTATAATAACGCATGTTAACTCTAAAATGATGTATGACTTGTCTTGTATTAAATCTTAAGGCAAATAATCCAAATGTTAAGAAAATGCATTTTACTACATTTTACATAAAAGAAAATAATAAATTATTGAAGCATTATAGAAATAGAAGAGAAAAAGAACGAAATAAAAATAATAAAAAGGAAAGAATGGAAAATCCTTGAACTTGTGTACACGGATCTACATTTGTATCAGAATCTCTTCCAATATTTAATTAACTGGTATTAAAAAAATGCACATGTAGCCCTCCATTATGTTAAAAGTCACCTTGCTTAAAGACAGAAACGGACGACGGACAGAAAGGCGGATCAAACAGAGAGACGGAGAGGTCCGTCAAATTGACAGACAAACAGACAGATACACATACTTAAGTTAAACCGCATGCTACTACACGTGACTTGTAGTAGGCCTGCTTACAAAGGGGTCAGTGTATTGCTGACCCAATCATTTACCGAATCATTTATCCCCCAACAGTCCAAATCAAATAGATAAATAGTTTGGTGTACTTATTCGACATTTGTGTTTAACCACGCCAGCAAGCCTGCAGGCGTTGTTCTCATGACAAATCTCTGCGGAGACTAAGAGTTTTTCACAGCGCGATCACTGAAAAATACCGCAGAGAAAAGAGTGCCGTTTGCAAAGAAAAGCAATTTTAAAAGCTGTAGAAGACAATGGGTAATTTTTTAATTGTACTGTGCATATATGAAAATTTGTTGCAATATATACTTATATATCCTACATTATACATACATATCTTACATTTTGAATGAAAGCTGGTAGTAAGGACAAGCTTATTCTCCTAGACAATAACCGACACTGTTAACATTACGAATAAAACAACACAAACAACATATAAAGTGCACATGGACGCAGTTAGCGCACAAATTTTATTTCAAACCATCTTCAATCATTTACAACAAACCATAATATAAATAAATAAATAAATAAATAAATCATAAACACAAGGAGACCCTCTCCTCACCAACCGGGATATCACATCCCAAACGGTTCTTCCTAGCTCATACTTCCCGTACATAGGGAATCACCGGGATATCACATCTAGATCCCAAACAGCTCTTTCGAGCTCATCTGTAGGGAATCACAAGAATATCACCAGAATATTCTCTCGTACTTACTAGGGAATCATCGGGAGATCACTTCCTAAACAGCTCTTATTGAACAAAACCATTAATTTACAGGGTTACCACTTAATATGGAATATTATTTTTTGGCGAGTAAATTTTCTACGAAATATTTAATTTCTCTCTAACTACTTTAAATCCAACCTGAGGTGTCACTCCATGTGTAGCCAGGTGTGTTACCTTAATACCACACAACTCTCGAAACAATTGATGCATGCAGTTGCATGTTCTGTGGTCAGAAATGTGAGGGGTGGTCTTTTCGGCAATTTCTGCCCTTGTATAAAAACACATGGGTTTGGTCAATCTTTGGAGTGTGTTTAGAGAAGCAACAAAGGGGTCGCTCTGAAACTTGACAGGTACTTTATTGAAGATATGGTTCGACAGCTAAGCAACGCAGCTTACTATGGGACTCTTGCTCTCAGAGAAAATGTCAAGAAACGGACAGCCATTGCCAGGTAATTCAACATTTATCAGGAACCGTTTGTAAAGTCCTCCAAAGAAATGATGCAACAGGGGCACCTACTCCAATACCTCGACCAGGGTGTCCGCGTATCACACCAAGAAGACAGGATCGCCTTCTCCTTAGAGGACGCCGTGCTGGCCGTACAAAGACAACCAGTGTCCTCAGAAAAGAGAGGCAGAATGTCATTCAAACGCCCGTTTCAAGGTCACGAGATTGAACAAGAGATTACTGCAAGCCGGTTATTTTGCACGAAGGCCAGTAGGGAAACCACTGTTAACAGCAGGTCATATACAGCGACGTCTGCAATGGGCTGGGGACCACGTGCGTTTGCAGCCAAAACACTGGAATCACGTCGTTTTCAGTGATGAGGCCAGATATGGATTTTTTAGGGTTGATGGTCGATACACAAGTATTCATCCATAAGCACATAATTGTAAACATACTATCATTAATCAACATACACGCATGCAAGTACACTGTAGACCTACACACACTAACACACACATACTTGCACCGTAACAAAAATTGAAAAAAAAAAAAAGAAAATAATCACTGTAGCAAAAACAAATGTACAAATAACATTTTAAAAATCATATATACTAAACAAATTTAAAAGTCAATAGCCAAAAAACCAAAAAGGAAAGACAAAAAAAATAATAAAAAAAAATTTACGTGTCGACTGGACTGCGCTAACTGGTCGAACGAACAACTGTCGTAACTTACCCACAATTCTTACAAAGAGCACAACTAGCACAATACACAAAATGTCGCCCCTAAGGAGAAAATAATTTCATTCTAATTCACTTCACTAAAACGAATAAAATTTCATTCTCGCGAATCACAAAATTTCTAACGAAAAGAGGGAGGACAAAGTCTGATAGCTAAAATAAGAAATATTAAGCATTTACTTCTCCATACGACACCAAACACGAAACTGTATGAAGACAATGACACTCTTCATTCTGGTAATTGGCTACAGATATAATTATACATGTATATAAAGGGCTTAGATATACTTTTTAAATATATATCCTTGGGACTCATTGGTTCAAAGCAGATTGAGTTGTTTAACCCTACAAAGAATGAATGGTAACTTCTATTGATTTTAAGGTCAAGCGTCAAGTACACAAACTAGATTTATTGCCAGAGGTAACAGAGATTGTAAACGTTGATCATAATAAAGTAATATGTTAACTATTTATGGTGGATAATTGGGTAGACACAACATAATGAAGAAAAAAAGATCCCAAAGTTCAATTTTTCACAACAATATTTAAACGAAACAGGTGAATAGCCTTCTTTATTTTGCTTGAAGTACAATTCAGGATACTTTTTAAAGTGCGCATTTCTTATTTTTTTCTCAGTGAGGACGGAGGTAGCTCGCCGCAGCTACATGTCCGATGAAAATGATTTCGCGACGAAAAACGTTTTTCCTGTATCTGTGGATGACAGTGGGATCTGTGATGGGTAAGTCAAAATTTATACACATATAGAATGAATACATTTTTCACAGATATATTAAAGCGTATCAATTGAATCCAATTTCGAGAAAAATTAGACTTTTTTTCAGGAAATTGACTAGTTAAAAAATCGAAGTATGAAAAAAAAAAGGATTTTTTTTTTACCAAAATTGTTATTTTTTATAGCTTTTTTTCTCCGCTCGTTTCTCATTATCCAAATTTTATCTGTACATGTTTCTCAATAAAACCCAATTGTTTGAAATGGATTTATTTAGGATATGTTTTGTACAATTTTAAGGGTTATGCTACTTATATATTTTTCTTCTTTTTAACTGTATCAGTTCTTATCAAGTCGTATTATTTGAAATATTCCAACGTGGGGTGGTTCTAAATCACACGATAACTTGTTTTAATTCAACTACTAAACAAATAAACGGAAAAATTTGTCTTATATGTTATGTCTTATACATGCGTGTTATATGTATTGTGACGCAAAGTATCCCCGTTTTATAGATGGCAAAATACATTCTGTTATTTAGGATATTCCAACAAGCCGGATAACCAAGGTGTGGAATTCTACGTGGCATTTGGTGAAAACCACCCTAACAGTCTGAGTCTTGAACTTTTCATTACCACGAGTTTAAACCAAACCATCACAGTGAATGTGACAGCACCTTTGGCCAGCTCCGTTTACGCCGGGGAAACAGTAAAACTTTCATTTCATTTCATAGCTATATTATTTTTTTACACTGGATGAATTTCAGGCTAAATTTTAACGAGAGAAAATGGAATTAATTTTGAACATGAGGCTGTTAAATGGTGACTATATTCTGCAAAACGCACAAATATACGTTAAGAGCTTCTTTGTAGGCTACTGGTGTTCTCGCAAGTCTCTGTTTAACAAAGATGCATGCCAATTTTTTCTAATTCAGGTAACAGTCACAAAAGGCCAAGTCCGTACAGTCCAGATTCCTAAAGGTATAAGGATGACCGGAAGCGGTGTTCAGTCCAGAGGGATATACATCACGGCATCGGACGAGGTCATAGTGTATGCGGTCAACAAAGAGCACTACAGCTCGGACTCATTTTTGGTGATTCCGGCGGACGTGTTAGGAACGGATTACTTCGTGCCAGCTTGGCCCAAGAATACTGCAGTCTCTGGAGATCAGGAACCAGCACAAATAGGTAAAAAGGCCGTTGTTGATTTTGGTATGGTCTAGCGATTTGTTCCACTAGTTTTTGCTTTCATACATTTTTTAGGCTGTCTCGTGCTTGCGTTTAGGCGGGGACATTCACCTTGTCTATGCACCGTAATCCTTTGTTATGAGGCATGCAAACTGTGTGGTTGCCAGCAAAGAGGACATGACCATACCGAGTCACCCTTTCTCCTTTTCGTACAATGGGCAAACTTACAATAGTAGCAATTCCTTCACCGTTTCGCTCAACCGGAGATAGACGTTCCAACTTTTAAATTATTAAGTTTCCTTATTTTATTCTTCTGCAACTGCTGTACATATAGGTCTCCGCCTCACAGTTTGTCGTATCGCAATCTTTTATGATGAAGTAGAGTGAATAATGGAAAAATTGTCACTACTTTCGTCGTTCTCCCTACTTTTAGGAATGGTAGCATCGGAGGACAGTACAAGCGTTAACTTCACCATGCCAAGTCATTCTTTCTCTTGTTCGTACAATGGACAGACCTATAGCAGTGGCGATTTCTTCACCGTCTCGCTAGACCGATGCCAGACGTTTCAACTTCAGTGCGACGAGGACTTAACAGGGGCAAGAGTCACATCCGATAAACCCATTGGGATCGTCTCTGGAAGTAAAAGGACAGAGGTTCTAAGTACTTCCAGATCGTCATCAGACCATATGGAAGAGATGATTCCCTCCGTCCCGACGCTAGGGAGACGCTTTCTCACTGCACCCCTGTCAGAAAGGTCCGCGGGCGATGTGTTTCGAATAATTGGTTAGTGTGATTTACGTTAATTAAAATTCTGTTAAAAAATTGCTCATCAAAATAGCACAACAATGCTTCTCCAGTACTTCCCGCTTGGCATTTAGACTAATGATTGTCACTTTTTGTGTTTTTCGGTTCGTAAAATGATATTACATGTTATCTACTTGAGTATATTATCCTCTCTATGTGTTATGACAATTCTGTTATCTTTCCATCCAGGCACTGTGCAAGGAACCACGGTAACAGTACAAGGTACGACAACCGGAGCCAACACGTACACTTTGAACGCTGGCGAATTCCAACAGCTACTCGTCTCGTCTGACGACTACCTGTATATTGAGGCCACCAAAGCAGTCCTTGTTGTACAATATTCAAAGTCAGGTTAGTTCGCCTTCTTGTATAGTTGCAGAGAAAGTATACATGTATGTATCTGGCTTTAAATGACCCCATTTTGACAATACAGCCGATATTAGCATATGAGATTCAATTTCCCGATAAAATAGACCAAATTTGAAATGCTGGATTAAAAAAAGATGCGACCAAGTCATATAATGAAAAACTTCAATTGAACTAATGGCTCACATTGTTGGAAAATTCTAAAATTGTTTTAGTCGCAGATGGAAAAAGAAGGGAAAGGAAAAGGAGTGTTGGTGAGCGTCTGTACAAGTTAAACGTGCTTTTTAAAACCTTTGGTTATGTTTTCTCGTTTTACAATCTGGGGACAGAACTTAAATGGAATACAGAATTAATTTCATGAATCTTCTCTGATTTGCAGCCAGTGCAGACGGTGCTCAAACCGACCCATTCATGATGCTGCTTCCTCCACTTGAACAATTCGACTCTTACTACACTCTGGCAACCGTAGAGGGCGTATCAGCTGCTTTTAGAAACTACATTAACGTTATAATTAAGATGGACCAATTATCAGGGCTGTACCTTGACGGGGCACCTGTAGCACCAGGAGATGTATCCACAAATTGGACGCAGATATCTAATACGCAGTACGCAGCAGTCATATTGTCAGTTTCTCCTGGAACTCACACCCTATACCACCAGTCACCAATCGTTGTTTTTTCCGCATTCGCCTATGGTCACGTACAGTACGAATCTTACGGCTATCCCGGTGGATGTCGGTTGGCGCCTATAGGGGATTACTGTACTTTGACAGCCTCAGTCGCAGGAGATGGGTTGGATAATGACTGTGATGGTCTTCTCGATGAAGAACTCCTAAATTACATTGATGACGATGGTGATGGTCTCGTCGATGAAGATGTGGCCTTAGCTTCCAATCCAGATCAGGCTAATTTTGTGGCCGCAGTGGAGGTCCCAACAACTTCTCCTTCTACTACTTCTTCTTCAACTACTACTACTACTACTACTACTACTACTACTACTGGTAGTAGTTCTACATCTACTACTACTTCTACTGCTGGTAGTACTCCTACTACCACCTCTTCCACATATGTGTCGGTAACACCCACACAAGTACCGACAAGTACAGAAAGTTCATTGCTCGCGGGAAATTCTGCTGCTCGGGTTGGAAAAGATCTTACGACGATAGAAATCGTTGGAATCAGTGTTGGAAGCGTAGTTGCCGCAGGTTTGGTTGCCGGGTGTTTGTCATTCTTCATTATTGGCAAATACCGTCGATTTAAGCGCAAAAAAGAAGAAGAAGAAGAAGAAAAAGCAAAACTAGCCAAGAATACGTCGGAGACTAGTTTAAGATCCAACAGAGTCAGCCCAGAACCACAATCAGGGAAGAATTCCCGCTTAAGCACCAGTGATATTGATGTTGGAGTTCCAGAATCACCGGGAAACTCTCCTCGGGATGGAGCCTTTCTAAACTCACCCCCTGCCTACCCGGGTAAGGCTTGGAGCACTGGCTACGCACGCGTTGGTGAGCCTACACATATTAAAGGGCATAAAACACCGAACAAGAAGAGTAGGGCTATGGTACCGGGGAAAAAACGACCGGCAGTCAATCAAAATCTTAACATCATTGATTTCTAAGCTGACAAATGGAACTCTTTGAATTAGTATGTAGTTGTTGAGTCACCCGAAAATTCTTATCATTTGCGCAATTTGGCCGACGATTTATTACAAGTGCCTGACGACTGAGTCGAATACGATTTGATTACACTTTAGTATCCCTTGAGCCTAGAAAATGCTTATTTAACTCTGTTTTAATTACATAACTTAAAAAAGTAAAATTGATGAAGTTATATCTGAGTCACTCACTCCCACATGCACACACACGCAATGACATTATAACATACAGTGGAATGGGTAATACAGCAAAATAACATAAAGAAACTACACAAGCTACGTCTGCAGCACAGAAACAAAAACTGTGAAAAAACACGGGTAAACAACTATTTTTGCAGAAGCAAATACATGTACATAAAAACCCACTCATCTCAACATAATTGTATAATCTTTCAGAAATCTTTATCTAATACTGGTAGAAATTGACAAGATTCTTGCCTACTTACACTGAATTGGTAGGAAGCATTCAAATACTTGTAACAATAGTAGACAATGTATTAACCTCATTTCAACTCTTTTTTTTTTCAGATATATCAGTTAAGCTTATATAAACGTATGTACATAGATAAGTTTGCAGTGTAACAATTATGCATGCTACTGTGTGTATTGATGTCCAACACTGCGTGCCAGTAGTCGTCTAAATGTACCATGCCGCATTATAATTTTAAAGGCAGAGTGTTTTGAAATCTTTATCCATTTTTTGTTTGCGAAATGTGTTTGTTCAACTGGCAAAGACATCCAGTTTCCAGACAAGGACAAACACGTGACAATCTTCAAACTCAATGTTATTTTAGAATAAGTTTAGAAAAACCTTACGGTTTTCACCAATCTGATTTAATTGCTGTGAAAGAAATAAATGTGGTAACTCACTGTAATAGTTTTATTTATTTTTATTCAAAAATGTTTACGAAACTCAGTGTCTAGAAAAACCATTATTGTTCTCTCTTTAACTGTTGTCACACTTTTCAGTCCATGAAAATAAAATGATACGACTTTTATATATTTTGCGGATATACCTCCTGACGTCAAAGGATAACAGTGTACCGTAGTACTGTAAAGTGCTGCAAAAAAAGGTCAAAGTAATGACCCCCCTTCCGTTTACGTAGATCCTAATGAACGCAAATCACTTGACTTGTATACAATGCAGTTCAATACTATTTGTTAAACGCCCTCTCCTTCTTTTACAGGCTTCGCTGAAAATATAAGTAAATTTTAGGTGACTTTGACTATAGTGACAAACGGCAACTTGCTGTCTAACTGTCTACAGGTTAAGTTAGGTCTTTGTCATTCCCTTTGAAAAGTATAATAGCGAATGTAAACTCCCTCGTAGATCGATCGATCATCCATCACTCGAATACAATCATGTATGACCACGTCTTGTATTATATCTTAGATGAGGCAAATTATCAAAATGTTTTGAAATGAACTTTTCTACATTATACACAAAAGAAAAAATAAATAATTAAAGCATTATAGAAATTGATGAGAAAAATAACAGATATTCTTATAACAAAAGGGAAAGAATGGAAAATCCTTGAACTTGTGTACTGGGTACACGGAACTACATTTGTATTGGAATCTCTTCCAAGATCTAATTGACTGACATTAAAAAATGCACATGTAGCCCTCCATTATTTCAAAAGTCACCTTGCTTAAGGATATTGTCACCCTTCGACTCAAACTTCTTATTTACTGTCTTACATATTCTTTTGGGTAATAAATAAATCTTCAGTGTTCAGTGACAAAATTAATTAACATTTACACGTCATCTTACCGGTAACACCATAATTGCGATTTTGGGGTAAAAACTGAAAAAATCCCTTTCTTTAATTTCTCTTTTACCTGAGCACCCACGGTCACCGTTTCAACGCCGATTTAATAACATTATTTAGTTCTCCAAAAGCCTGCCAGCGATTTTTCTTCAAATTCTTAGTTCAGATTTTATCGTTGACAAAGCAAAATAATGCCTTTGATTAATGAAAATCTATAATTAAGGGGCTCATAATTCCATAACAAAAACATTTAAACCAAAATGACGTCATGGGATTGTACCCTACACTTTCGTGGTCAACTCTGCCTATTTTTGTGATAAAATCTTGTTCAGGGATGAAGTTACGCCCCATACCGATTGCTATCTCAACTCAAAATAAAAAGGTGTTAAACTGAAGATTAAAGATTTGGGTTGCCTATGCTTATACATTGCAACGAAACAATACAAACGCCGATATTTTATATTTTTGACGGTTTTTCACTGTTTTAAATCAGCAGAAAGATAGATGCATTATTGAATAATGATGCAGGATGCAGGAAAAAAAAACTCATTTTCGGTATCTTGATGATAGGGTTACAAAATCCTTAAAGGCATAGAAACGGACGACCGGACAGACAGACAGACGGGGAGGTTCGACAAATTGACAGACAAACAGACAGATACACAAGTTCGACCGCATGTTACTACACGTGAGGGTAATAGGTGACATGTAGTAGTTTACAAAGGGGTCAGTGTATTGCTGACCCAATCATTTACCGAATCATTTATCCCCCAACAGTCCAAATCAAATAGATAAATAGTTTGGTGTATTTATTCGACATCCGTGTTTGACCACGGCAGCAAACCTGCGGACGTTGTTCTCACGACAAATCCCTGCATCGTTTCTCACAGCGCGATAACTGAAAAATGCCGCAGAGAAAACAGAGCCGTTTGAAAAGAAAAACACTTTTAAAAGCTATTTTAATGGTTTGGGTTGCGCTGGAGACGACAATGGGTAAGTTTTCAACTGTACTATGCATATATGAAAATTTGTTTCATGAAATTTGAAGAAAATAATTTATTTTTTATTATGTTTCATTTTTGCTTTAACAATTGATTCAACCAGATCTTCGTTATTTCTTTTGTTCTAAAAAATTGTTCCACAAGATGTAAGGTGATCGATTTTATGTCTACTGTATATATCAATAAACTTTGTTAATGATATAATACATAAATACAATCCACAGAAAGATTTTTTGAATTTAATACTAACAAAAGCACCATTTAAAAAAGTACCCATTGGATTTCACTGACAATATAATAAAATATATAAAAACTACCAGACGTTTTGAAGAAGACGAACGTTTTTCTTACTCAGGTTATTCCAACAAGCCAGATAACATGGGGGTGGAATTTTACATGGCGTTTGGCGAAAATTACCCAAACTCCAGAAGTCTGGAACTTTTTATCACGACTAGTGCGAACCTAACCATTACTGTGAATATATCGGCACCTTTGTCCAGCACCGTGTACGGCGGAGATACGGTATGTAATTCTAAGATGCCCCAGAGGGGGAATTACGCGAAAAATGTCAATTTAAAATTATCCAGAGTGTATTTTCCTTTTGTTACAAGAACGTTTTGTTAGGATTTGAGATCAAATATACATAAGGTAAAGATATGGAATTTGCTTTATTTGTACCTGCATCTGGGAACAATCATGGCCAATTGGCGATATTAGAAACAAACAACAAAAAAAAAAAAAAAAAAACATTAGCGCTAGATAGTTTTGTCTGAAGAACTCCAAAGTTTCTGTTTATTAAAGATGCATGGCAGTATGCTTTTGAATAATATGGTCAGATTTTTAAAATTCAGGTATCAGTCACAAAAGGTCAAGTTTGCACAGTCCAGATTCCCAAAGATATAAGGATGACCGGAAGCGGTGTCCAGTCCAGAGGGATATACATCACGGCATCAGACGAAATCATAGTGTATGCGGTCAACAAAGAGCACTACAGCTCGGACTCATTTTTGGTGATTCCGGCGGACGTGTTAGGAACGGATTACTTCGTGCCAGCTTGGCCCAGGAATACCGCAGTCTCTGGAAGGCAGGATCCAGGACAGATAGGTAGATTGAAAAAAAATCAGATAAAAGAATAAATAAATCAGTTAATAAATTAACCAATCGATTCAAATGTAACAAAAGACAGATATAATTATCAATTTTGTTGCTTTTGTGTCAAACACAGTTTAACTTTATATTGGAGAACCTATATCACAAATGTGATTTCTCTTTTAAAAAATGCTTGCCTCTCAGACAAGAGACACAAAAACGAGGGAGAATACATTCCGTTGGTGGTGAATTAAAAGATTTTCTCTTTTTTTAAGATTTCCTTTTTCTTTCTTTATTCTTCTGAAACTGCTGTACATATAGGACCTCAACTCGCTGTGTGTCGTATCGCAATCTATTCTGATGACGTAGAGTAAATATTGGTAATAAGTGTCACTATTTTCTGTCGTTCTCCCTACTTTTAGGACTGGTAGCAACGGAGGACAGTACAAGTGTAAACTTCACTTTGCCAAGTCATTCTTTCTCCTGTTCGTACAATGGACAAACCTATAGCAGTGGCGGTTCTTTCACCGTCTCGCTAGACCGATGGCAAACGTTCAACTTCAGTGCGACGAGGACCTAACTGGGGCACGAGTCACATCCGATAAACCCATTGGGGTAGTGTCTGGTAGTAAAAGGACAGAGGTTCTAAGTACAAGTGGTTCCAGATCGTCAGACCATATGGAAGAGATGATTCCATCCGTCCCGACGCTTGGGAGGCACTTTGTTACAACACCCCTCTCTGAAAGATCCGCGGGGGATGTTTTTCGAATTATTGGTAGGTGAATTCATATTTCAGGAAGCTCAAGGCGTTTTTCATACATTACAGTAAATTGTAGCTAATATGCGACGGTGGCCTCCTTAAGGTCATTTCTAAAGTAGAAGTATTTCAATGTGTGGTCATAATGTTATAATAATGTAACATTGGGGGACACTTGCTCTACGAAAAGCCTCAATTTGTGAAATGCACACCGAAAATAATTAAGAACCACTTTCATAAAACAGAATATTCTTTCCATACCATCCAGGCACTGTGCAAGGAACCACGGTGACAGTACAGGGCACGACAACCGGTACCAGTACGTACACTTTGAACGCTGGCGAATTCCAACAGCTACTCGTCTCGTCTAACGACTACCTGTATATTGAGGCCACTAAAGCAGTCCTTGTTGTACAATATTCAAAATCTGGTAAGTAGACTTAGTGGTGTCTTCATTTGGTCTATTATCTCATTAAAAATGCCGTCGCGCGGTATTACTTTGAACTAATGCTAAGGTAATGTTACACTTCTGTTTTTGATTGCATTCATGGTATTGTGTTTAGGAAATCGGATAAGTGAATTGGCTATAATTAATAAAAGCAGCAATAAATTATCAATTTTCTGATTTATTTTTTTAATTTTTAAGAATTATTTTCACGTAACAATAGACAAAGCTAGACAAACAAGTAAACTTAAGTGGTAACATAACACGAAAGATGGCAACATTTTCTCGTTTTACAATCTGTGAAAAGAAATTAAATGCAATTTAGAATAATGAATGATATCTGATTTGCAGCCAGTGCAGACTATGCTCAAACCGACCCATTCATGATGCTGCTTCCTCCACTTGAACAATTCGACTCCTACTACACTCTGGCAACGGTAGAGGGCGTATCAGCTGCTTTTAGAAACTACATTAACGTTATAATCAAGATGGACCAATTATCAGGGCTGTACCTTGACGGGGCACCTGTAGCACCAGGAGATGTATCCACAAATTGGACGCAAATATCTAATACGCAATATGCAGCAGTCATATTGTCAGTTTCTCCTGGAACTCACACCCTATACCACCAGTCACCAATCGTTGTTTTTTCCGCATTCGCCTATGGTCACGTGCAGTACGAATCTTACGGCTATCCCGGTGGATGTCGGTTGGCGCCTATAGGGGATTACTGTAGTTTGACAACTTCAGTGGCAGGAGATGGGTTGGATAATG